GGGGTTTATGGCAGTACCAGTCTTAAAGGGCTGTATTAAATGACTTTATTTAAAGCACTTAAGAGCAGTGCTTGGCAAAGGTACTGTATGTAAGTATTAGCTGCTACTATTACTTTTGTCATATGTAATATTCCTAAATTTAATTTTCCTGCCATTTAATGACTAAGGTGTAGGTTAAAAAGTGAGGGTATTTTATACTCATTTTCACTTGTTTTCCAGATTACTGTCCCATTGTTCCAAATAGAATTCTTTGAATCTTGTGAATATAAATGACCCCTGATTGATTTGTAATCATATTGGTTCCTGGATAATGATCACAAGTGGAACTTGTCCTAATTTTAAATCAAAGCCTTTCTACAGTGTCATTAAAAAAGGATTTTGTGCTAGAAACCCAGGTTAAATGGTGAAAAGCCATGTAGGAGAAAAAGAAAACTAACAAACTTCATAAAATACAATCCAATAGAATCTGGACTGAGAATTGCTTTTTTTAAAATTTTTTTCTTTTTCTGATAAGTCTCCCTCCAACAACCATACAATTATTCATTGCTCTAAAGGATATTTCAAATTTAGGACTATACTCCTCAAAAACTTTATTACTGATTCTGTTCCTGCGAAAGGCTCTGATTGCCTTTGAAAGGTAAGTACTAGCAACAGGAGCAGTATTTCTCTGGTAACTGTGTTTTCCCTTTACTCTTTCATTTTTTCGAGGACTGAGATAAGTGGCAACCTTGTTAGGGACTTCATAAGTGGCAGTATTTTTGATTATTATGATGCAAGGACCTCTTTTTTTAAGAGGTCATAAAGAAGATTGATAGGTTGATTGGAAAAGTTGTGGACTACCTGTAGATAGAATTATTTTGCAGATTCTTTTCATAGAAGATTACTAAATTAATATTACTTATTCTTATTTTTTGAGACAGATTTTTTTTTTATAAATAAAAGATTTCTCCCCCATTAACATTAGATTCTTGGAATAAGTAACTATGAATGTGGGTAGATTAATCTTTTGTTTCCTCTGTAAATTGAGGGCTTTGGACTATTTATAATCTAGATCATATTGCTAAAGTCAGAACTCTTACTCAAGCAGAAATCCAGTTCAAGTTACAGTTGTCTATTGACCAGTTATGTGAGGTTGAGTGTTAGTCACCTGCTCGTGACTCATAGTTAGCTGTGTGGAAGACTAGGATATTTAAAAGTAAATTTATTATTTCTTCACTGTAGGATTGAAGTCACTGAAAACCACATGGTTGAAACAGAATTGGCAGGTTTTTAAAAAAGTCTTCTATAGGAAAACGTGTCACACTTAATCATGTTAGCCAATAATTGCTAAAAAATTTTGTTGGAAGTTCTCTGTACCTACCTGTAGCTCTATTTTTGTGATAGGTAGTTCATGGTTCACAACGGTTTTTAATCCTCCTTTTCTTGAGAAGTAATTCAAATAAGTTGCTCTTTCTTTCCAAGAGTGACTTGGGTAGTAATTCGTTTATAAAAGGGCCACTTTAAACTTCTTTATCATTTTGGTTCTTGGAAATTTGCTTAATTAGGTCAGTAGAATTGCTTAATTCTAGAATTAGGAAATTTGTAGATGAAGTTTCTTAAAAATGAGGGAATAAGAAAAATGACAGGTTTAGTTATTTTCTATAAACTTACTCTGAAAATCATGTGGCTCCCATACTGGATTAGCTACTTTCAGGGAAGATTGCTAAAATGAGCCAGTGAGCTTAAACCATGCTTAGGTATGCCGTTTACCATAAGCGTTAGACCTTAGGCACAGAGAAGTTATTGGAGAGTACAGAAAAAGAAGCAATGCTTCCCATTGGAGAAAACAGTTCTCATGATCTCTTAGACCCTTAAAAGCATACTGGATTTTTTAAAGTTTTATTGTAATACATCTTCAGTTTTGGCTTATTAGTGTTTTTATAACACCTTCTTATCACTAGAAATGTATACAACAAACTGAATTATTACTTAGTATTTAGAATTTATCTGAACCTTCCCATACGTATCAGGAATGTCTCCAGTTGCGAACACTTAAAAACCTTACTAGTAATGTCCAAAACAGGAATTCCTTTTTCTTCCATGACAAGAAATCCACAGACGGGCAATTTGGGGCCAGTACAACAGCTCAAGAAAGGTTGTCAAGAATTTGAGTATCCTCTTTATTCCTGAGCCACCATCTTCATAAGGGGCACTTAACCTCATGATCACAAGATGGTGCTTTTACCTTAAGGCACTGAATCCCTGTGGCAGAGAGAAGAGCAAAGAGCTTTCTTCCAGTAATGTTTCACTTTGTTGTTTTTTGCCCCAGAAGGGATTCCTTTTATCAGACATCTCCGTGTACATTGCCTTGGCCAGAACTTTGTTACTTCTCTACCTCTAACTGCAGGGGAAGCTGTGAGATCCATGTGTTAGCTTTCCTGAGTCTGGGGGGGAAGGAGGCATCCTGCAGTGTCAGCCAGATCAGAGACACTTTGAATTCTAGCGTTTGGTAAATTTCTATATTTGTACCATTCAGGGAATTATTTGGTGGTAGTGGGAGGGTGAATGCAAAAGTTTTGTTAGTCCTTAATTATGTTCTAAAATATAAGAACCCCCTCCCCATAATAATTTGATCAGAGGAATTACAAAACCATATAAACTATTAAAATCTTTCATTGGAAGGCAAAGTTAATAATCATCATAATAAAATCTTGAACTTGCTTTCATAATCTTTTGTGAACTATATTAAGGCTTGCACATTCTTTACTCTTGGCACTCTTGAGTTTTCTCAGCCAAGTTGTTAAAAGAATAGTGTATTTTAAGCTAATTTTTATTTTGTTCATCTGTTCACCCAGTACAACCTTTCTGCTGTGAGGACAGGATTCTGGCTCTGTGACAGGCGTCTTTTTTGGAGACCCTCCTTCAAGAGCCCTGCTGCCTATAAAAGATAGGTAAGCCTTTTCTCCCAAGATTTTTTTTTTTTTGCCTTCCTTCAAAAAGTGCTTGTGTCATTCCTCTGATTCTATACCTTCATGGTTACCAGAGATCATGGAAAATCCTCTTCAGATTTTTAAAAATTTATATTATTAATCTTTTACAAATTTAGATTATAGTAAATGGTACTATCTGAAATTAATGGCAGCTGTCAATTTTTATGTTTCCCATTAGCACATCGAAACTTCCTACAATGCTAGATGGCTCTGATTGAACTACTCACAGCAGATTCAAAATAGCAAGCCAGAATCTTAATAAATCCCGTGACAACTTGGACACTAGCCTTCATTTTTTTAAAAATTTAGCCACCTAATTTTTTCCCATATATTTTGAATAAAAAATTCAAGTTTTGGCTCCTATTTGATTAAATAACTAAATGTTAACTCTGAGTACCTCCAATATTTTTCCTTTGTAATGACATATAATGTGTTTTGTTATAATTACTAAAATTTTCAAAAAAACTTTGTTTATTCATTTTTGGAAGACAGAGACAGAGCCCAAGCAGGGGTGGGGTGGAGAGAGAGGGGGACATAGAATCTGAAGCAGGCTCCAGGCTCTGAGCTGTCAGCACAGAGCCCTATGCGGGACTCGAACTCATAAACTGTGAGATGGTGACCTGAGCCAAAGTCGGACACTCAACCGACTGAGCCACCCAGGTGCCCCTTACTTTCAAAATATTTTAAGAGAGATTTCAAAGTAAGGGTTTCTCATGTTATCACTTATATTATTCAATTTAATAAATTGGGAGTGCACTAAGTGCTGTTGAGGTTCCAGAAAATATTTTCTACCCAGATGCCATTTGAATGGTACATGATATAGGATTCCAAAAGAAAGTGTCCCTGTCTATTGCCGGGGGAAAGCTTTGGAGAGAAATGGCAGAAATACCTGTTGAAATTGACCTTTGGGAATAAGAAAGGAAAGTTGTGAACAAAGATGGGGAGCAAGAAAGTCCAGGGTACCTGTGACATACACACTTGTTTGTGGTTGGGTGGTGTGTTCAGAAGTAGAGCGATGAGAGCAGAAGCCAGAGCAGGGCACACAGAAGCCAGACTGTGGAGAGCCTGTGAGCTTGGGCGTTTTCGTATGAGTAATTGATGAATCATTCTCGCTCATTCAAAATGATTGCCTTATTCTACCTGAATTTTGCCAAGTGTTTGGCTGAGTAGGGGGGAAGAAAGAGACCTGGCCTCTGTCTTCCAGAACAGTCTGCCTGAGGAGAGGTACCCCTTGTTCAATAAATGTTTATTGGCAAATATAAGGAAACTTACTGAGAGTCAGCTGTGTGCCGTGTACTTCACGTCGTGCATCTACGTGAGTCTTGACTCCAAGAGAGAGGATGATATATCCTCATTTTTGTATACCTCAGGGTTAGAATAAACATGTCCATATGTATTTTGTTAGTATTCAGGTACTCCTGACACACAGTATTACGTTCGTTTCAGGTGTACTCTTAAGGTTTTTTAATGTATTGTCCATATTACTCTTTCCAGGGCTGCTAGTTTATATGCGTCTGTCTTCAGAGTTGTCTGTAAAGAACTACTGATTTAGATTCAAATTTGAATTTAAGCAATAGCTTTAGATAAGTATATATCCACTTCTGCTTATAAAAACTGAACTAAAAACTATTGACATAAATATAGAACTTGAGAAATTATCCTCTTGATTAATTTATGTAGTTCCTGCCTTTTCCCTACATATCTCCAGTCATATAATCTAGACTAGGAATGGCAAACTATGTATGGCCTATACACCAGATCCAGCCTGTGGTCTGGTTTTGTACAGCCTAGAAACTGAGGATGGTTTTTTCCATTTTTGAAATTTGTTAAAACAAAAAATGAAAGTTGGAACAGTAAGCACATTTAGCCAGCAAAGCCTAAATTACTTATTCTCTGGCACTTTATAGAGAAAGCTTGGTGGATTCAGACTATAAATGTATCTTTTATCGTAGAAGTTTATAACTAGGGGCGCCTGGGTGGCTCAGTTGGTCAAGTACCCGACTTTGGCTCAAGTCAGATCTTGCAGTTTGTGAGTTCGAGTCCCACACCAGGCTCTGTGCAGACAGACTGGAGCCTGCTGCAGATTTTGTGTCCCTCCCTTTCTCTCTGCCCCTCCTCTACTCATGTTCTAGCTCTCTCTTTTTCTCTCAAAAATAAACATTTAAAAAAAAACTAAAAAAATAAACATCACTAGGTGAGTCTGCTGAGAGGCTTTCAGAAAACATAGGTGCATAGGCCTCACCCTTGATGAGTTTATCTATTGGTCTCTTTTCCTCTCTTTCATATACAACCTGTATATGTAAATAGTGCCAGAAGACCGTTATATTAAAAAAATCAAGAAGTTTGGCTAACTGCTATTAGTAGCAGCGTGTGGCAGGCATAGCAATGCTAGTGAAACAGTCTCAGGGCTGGAATAGATCTTTAACAGTTACCTAATTTCCAGAGACCTTTTCCCATCTTAATCTTCCAAGTAAATTGTGTAGTACCTACTAAGTGCCAGTCCTAAGCCCCGCGCTGGAGATCAAGAAACAAATAAGACAGGGTCTCTGTTCATCAGCTGGTAGAAAGGGAGAGGTCAAAAATGAGGAGGAAAGAAGTCCATAGAGTATAACTTAAGAGCCAGAAAAGAGAGATGGACAAGATCATGTGGAAGCTCAGAAGATTTTAAAAGAGTATTTACCTCTTTGTAGGGACATGTGGGGAGCAAAGATCCAGACAGGAAAGCTTCACAGGAGGTAACAATTTGATCTGACCCTTTAAAGGATGAACAAGAGAGGTTGGCAGAGTTAAAGAAAGATTTGGTAGAAACTATTTACACAACATTGGATTATACCAAGACCCATCTTAGCTTTGAAACAATCTAAAGAAATGATCCTGGAGCCCCCACTAAGTTTGGAGGGTAAAGGCCAGAGAAAGCCCTAGTACAGATTCGGTGAGCCTTTGTTGTCATTTTGCATTTTCTGCCAACATTTCTTACTCTTTGTTCTCATTGGTAACATTTGTATGTAATGGAAAAAGTTAAATTTAACAGTATAAATAGGTTATGATCTCGCCGGCTTATTTTTGTCATATCAACTCTGGCTTAGATGCATAGGTACATTACCCGTTTCTGTAAGCAGGTAATCTAGTAGGAGGCACACTGGGCTTAATGTGCCTCTTGCTCCTTAACTAGTTATAAGGCACTGGCTCTCTTAATTGCTCAGATACATTTTCCTCATTTGTAATAAAATAAACTGTTTTGTATTTGAATTTTTTTTTGCTTTTTTTTTTAAGCTCATATAAGACCGTGTATATGGAGCAATACTATACAAATTTTTCTTTTTCTTTTTCCTTTTAATTATGTTTTAACCACATCCTGGGTTCAGAGTAGAAGTAGTAAACTAGATCCTGTAAACAATACAGAGATGAATGTGACAAATACTTAAATGGCTGCTTTATGTCAAACTTTTTTTTAAGTTTATTTATTTATTTTGAGAGAGGGAGAAAAAATCCCAAACAGGCTCTGTGCTATCAGCACAGAGCTCCATGTGGGGCTTGATCCCGTGAACCATGAGATAGTGACCTGAGCCAAAATTAAGAGTCGGATGCTTAAATGACTGAGCGCCCCTGCACCAAACATTTTTAAGGTAGCCAGGTGTCTTTTCTCATGGAAATTGTCAAATACAACTTTAAGAAACTTGTGATGTGGTGGGAAAAGACTGTAAGTAACTAGGTTAATCTGTATATTAAATGTTTTCTCTGCTACCTTATATTTGTTTACTTACTTGATCTTTAGAACAATTCTACAGATATAGCCACAGTTCATCAAATCCCCGATGCCTATAAGGCATCATTTTAATGTAAATTACAAAATGCACCCCAATATCTGAGATGAGAAAACGTGAAAAAAAAAAAGTGGTAAATTCAGCAAAGTCTGGTATTATTACCTCCATTTTACAGATGAGGAAACAGGCACAGGGAAGGAAGGTAAGTGATTTGTTTGAGAATACAAAATTGGTCAGTAGTGGAGTCCGGATTTGAACCAGGAAGCTTGGCTCTGAAACCTGTGTACTGCTTCGCATGAAGTAGGGATACATGAACTATAGGCCAAGTAGTGTGGGACCACAGATGAATCAATTGGTGGTGGTGCAGTGAGAGATTCAGAGGGGACTGTTAAGCTGGATTTAGACTCATAGGTGAGAGTTTCCTATGGAGAGGAGGGGGTGAAAGTAATGAGGACTTGAAGCTTCCTGTAAGGTGTAAATGGGCACGCTCTCACTCTCCTTTCCTCTCAGCTCACCCAGGGCCTCTTTCCTTTACCTCTAAAATACCAGGTTATCCACAGTTAACCTTACCTGCCAAAAATCGCCCATTGTGTCCCCGTACCCAGGTCCTCTGAGATACCCCATTTAAAAAAAAAAATTTTTTTTTTTTTTTTAATTTTATTTTTGAGAGAGAGAGAGACAGAGTGCAAGCGGGGGAGGGGCAGAGAGAGAGGGAGGCACAGAATCCGAAACAGGCTCCAGGCTCCGAGCTGTCAGCACAGAGCCCGACGCAGGGCTCGAACCCACGGACCGTGAAATCATGACCTGAGCCGAAGTCGGATGCTTAACCGACTGAGCCACCCAGGCGCCCCCTAAGATGCCCCATTTTTAAAAGTTAACTTCCTCCTATTCATACCTAAAACTTACCAGAGCAGCTGAGGTGAATGATTGTTAATATCTGCAAGGCTAACATACACATGTGAGTTTCTCTGCCTCCGCTGTTTCCCCATGTCAACATTTACTGGTCTAAGGAAGATGTTTTACTGAATTCCTACCTTCAGTTCGCCACAGAAAAACTTGTAACTGGTTACTAAAGATAAGTGAAATCCGTTGTAAATAACATAGTTTGTTATTACAGGGATGGGTGTTTGTGGGGTCCAGTCATGTCTACCAGAATGCAATGAAATAAGCATGATGCATCATGGTTAGTTAACACGGGTGTCATTGAGACTGTCTTACTGCTTTTGTTCTATTTATCTATTCTTTGTATTGACCTTTTAAAGAAAACTTTAAAACTTCCAAGTTACTGCATTTACTTAATGAAAGAATTTCCTTACAAAAGGAAGCTCTCATAATAGCTAATATTTATTATCCATTTCCTGTGAGCCTGGTACATTAAAAGTGTTCTACATGTATTAATACATTTACTCCCCAAAGACATGAAGTAATGATATTTCCCTTATTTTGTAAATGAGGAAACTAGGGCCCAAAGATACATTGGGGCCAGAATTTGAAATCAGGATGCTCTCCCTCAGAGCCCACACTCTCCTCTGTTAGGTTTCTGTAGTGCTTGTGACAGTATGTTTGCAGTTTTTCTCTTAACTTAATAGGCTAGTTGTCCACTTAAAAAACTGTGGACACCATCCCTGCTAGATGATGATGTTAAATATAGAAAGAAGCATTGTTTTAATCATGTTTGTCCAGTGGTAACATCTTGTGGAGATGGCTTGATTACCCTTTATTTATCACTCTAAATTCTCATGCTTTTCAAACTGTCACTACTCCAAGGTTGCAGGTT